AGAGAAAATAAAATTACTTCCCATATTCACACAAAATTAAATAGGTATTTAAATATTTTAATCAAAAGAACAATACATTACAAATTTAAGAATTTATTTTATACATATCTTCAATTCTTATAATTATATATGTATATATATATATATATATATATATATATATATATATATATATATATATATATATATATATATATATATATATATATATATATATATATATATATATATATATATATATATATATTTCCCTTTAAAAATAAAACGTACTTCTTATATTGATTTGTGAGTTCTTACTTACACATAAATCTTATTTATGTATTAAAACGCCTAGGTTAAAGAGCATTTTGGCCAGTGTATCTGTAAGATTCTGTTTGCAGTTGTCGCTGGAGGACTGAGACCAAAAACTTTGGCACATTGAGGTTGTCGAAAGTTTGTCTATTCATTAACCCAAATACTTGAGGGGGGGCACAGAGAGATGAGTGCTAGGCCAGGTTTAAGCCGAAGTTCCATAAAGCTAATTTGCATATTTGAGTGACTGCACATAGGACTCTCTCTTTTTTCTTCATGTTTTGTTGGCCATGACAGATGACAGCGATAAGGCAAGAAGTCTTAGAGTAAATGGGTTTAATCGCTTTTGCGGTTTTGTGCATGACGTCAAAGGCCCCTTGCTTTTATTATATTTCGCTGAACTTATTCAATTATTTTCCACTTTATGTTCTTTGTCAAATTTCGGAGCTCACAGACTTAAGCTGCAATTTAAAGAACTTATTAAAATGGAAACAATTTATAAAGTTTATCTTACACTTTTTAACCAGTTTAAGTAGTTTGCCTATTGTCTTGAGTAAAAGCATAAGTAATTGAAGAGACCTCTTGCAGAACTGCAATTCTTTCCCGCAAGCTTGAAGAATATCCAGACAAAATATCACCGTCAGACAAATACGAAAAAATATCATTTTGGGTGCAGTTTTTTATTCGTATTAGTTTTGTTGTATTTTGAAGTCCTTCAATCAGCTGTTGGATTTCGTAAACAATCGATTACATAACAGCCAGTGTTGCATTTAAATCGATAATATATTTTATTTATATTTTTTCCAATAAAGCTTAAGAAAGCTGTTTCTATTAATATTTCATCATCTTAAAAAAAACCTTTAACCACTTTTTATCACCCACATAACAGTTCCATTATCTAATCGACAATTTTTATCCCCACATCACACACGATTGTTGCGTTGCTTTTTATGACAATCAAGGCCGCAAATCAAATACGCCCAATTAAACATTGACTATTTTTAATCCTGCCGAAGCCATTGCCTTTTTCGTAATTATTTTCCAACAAAGTGAGTTGGCGGGCAGCGGGGGCATTTAACGTTTAACGTTCATAGAAAGTCGAGATAGATTGTGTGAAATCAGCGCCAACCAATTTCGAATCAATCACCAAACTCAGCCAGAGAAAAAGGCAGCCCAACGAATCCGGGGACCTAATCGAGCGTAATGATTGCGTTGGCCTCAACCGAGAAAAAAGTTTCATTTTCTGCAGCTGAATTTGTGCTAAATAAAGCGCTCATTATTTTAAGTGTGTGCCAAAAAGGAATGAAGAAATTGTATCTAATAGAAATGTTTTGGCACGAAGCTTACAGAAATTTTTAAGGAAAGTTAAACCAAACTTAATTTATCGAGGGTGCAATAGAAATCACAATCAATATATTTTAAATAAATAAATTAGAAAGACGGTTTTCTTTTTTCACTAGATAACTTAGGCACCTTTACAACTGATTTCTAATCCCTAGACTTTATTTATTTGAATACTTTTAATTGTAAAATACCATTCCATTTGATACCGTTTCGTGAAGTATTTGTTTCTGAGCCTCAACGAGTCAGAAAATTGTTTCTAATGGAAAGACAAAGGCAAAAACTTAAAGCAAACTTAGAAGGAATTTAAGGTTTTGGTTGAGGTCACCGTTAGACATTAATGAACACATGTTCGCAAGACATTAAAATTAAATGTACCGCTCATTAAAATTTGAAACATTTCAAAGGGACAGGACAGGCCGACCAAGTTTGGAGGCAAATGTAGCTTGACATACGCAATTTAGTGGGCTGAAAAAGCTTTTCCCTCGACACTCGCCCACTCACCCACTTTTGGGCATGCATCATATCACAATAATAACGAAGCATTTAATGTTAAGTGTGTGGGGGTCGGGTCTCGAGTTTCAGGTTTCAGTTTTCTGGCTTCCAAATCATCATCATCATCAGGCAGCAGCAGCATCGATAAAGTCAAAGTGTTTGCTGCGATGATGCAGGGGGGTGACCTCCAGGCAGGGTTATAAAACAAAAACCGACATATTGCCGGGGTGAGAAGGGGCCAGACCGAAAAGGACACCCGCCGAGTGACCGACTGACTGACATGGACATTGTCAGGGACATGGGACATGCTCGGACACAAGTTCAATTCAATTTTTCGGCCATGTTTTTGTCATTTCCATATATGCAAATGAATATGTTGAAAACCGGAAAATCAAGCGAGGGCCAGAGATGGAAAATTCCGCTCAAAGGCGAGAGTTTTAGGAGCGGGTATACAAGTCCCGTGAATTTTCGGTAGCGAAAATGGTCTGTGTGGGTTTGTCTTTATACTATCTATGTAGGTATACTTAAATTTTCAATTAAAGTTCTTTAATGCCACTTTTAAATATAGAATGGTATATGAACTATTTTTATTTTAATGGCTTCCAAATTTTACAATTAGCTGAAAATATAACCGTTAGGCGTGTAAACGGCCTAAAAATGTTATTTTTCTTAATTTAATTGCAAATATAACTTTAATGTGAGAAATTTCAGTATAAATCGATTAAAGACAAAATATTTGTTTATTAATTTAGTTAAACTTCTTTATTACTAAAATACAGTATACTTAATAGTCATTCAAAGGTGGACACTGATGAAACCAAATAGCTCATAGGCGATAGAAACGATGAATGAAATAATGGTGGGGTGGGGCATTAAAAGGAGGCCTTACATTGAATTTTCGAAAGGGGGCTTTCACTATAAAGGGTCTATGGGCTTTAGGCAAACATTTAACGCTGCCGAATGATTTGCAGCTGACGAAAAGCTAAACAGGACGCAGGCAACAGTTGTAATACACTGGGAAAATACATATAGACGTGGGAAATACAATTTTATACTTTGCAGGTATTGATATAAAAATAAAAGCATCTAAGAATTTATTTTTTCTTAGGACATTAACATTTTTATAATGTCTCGACTATATTAAAACAAGCAATATCATTTATGTTAGTTGAATAATTACTATTTTTTTGATTTGATATTTAAATACGCCAAGAAAAGTATCATATACAAATAAATTTTTCTGGTTGATACTTATAAAATTAATTGAGATAAACGTCATTCCAAAACAACAGTGATTGAGCCAAAAAGTTGTTTAAGTGTAAAGAGGGGAGAAATAAGTGGGGGTAAAATACAGAGTGAGTCAGATGGATAGATAGATAGTTAGATAGAGAACGATACAAAATACAAATGAACATACGCAATGCGGCAATCAAAAGCCAACACGCACAAAGGAGAGTTACGGGGGTAAACAGAGGAACCGGATGGGGCAAAGGGTGGGGAAAAGGGTGGGGAAGTGAGTGGGAGTTTAGAGCGGGTTAGATCCCGCACAGAAGGACATCCGGTCTTTGGCCGTACAACGACAAATGTCATCAAGCAGTCCAAATAATAATAAAATATACACTTAAGCCTCGTTTTGTCTGCATGCCTGTGTGCGTGTATTTTGGCCACATGTGGGGTCCTCCTAACCACCACTAACCCCCTTCCACTGCCCCTCCCCTGCGCCCGACTCTGCGTGGATTTAAATAAAACGGAAATTTATTTCGACAAATGGCATTTACTTGCAACGGATGTGCCGCCATTACAATGACACGGAAAGGCTACACAGACACACATGCACGGAGAAAATCTTACGAAATATATAAAACAGCCAAATAAAATACAAAATATGGTATCTGGTAATTTAGGTATAAGCTTTAAATTTATTTTACATAATTAAATTTTGTTAAAATACTTTTCTATCTATTGAAAATATCTTTATAAATTCATCTTTCTTAAATAACTTACATTTTCAACGGTTTTTTATACATTTTTTAAGGGTTTGGAATTCTTTAAAGATAAAAAACAACACACATTTTTTTGTAAATCTCTGTATTTAAATTTAATTTAAGTAATAGTAGTAGTCCCATATTAGCGAAATTATTCTCTGTGTAACAAGAGGCAGGACGCCACAGGATCCTCGCTCAACTCGTGCGCTATTCAAAAACGAGCGCCGTCTGGGAAACCCAGCGTGAGGCCAAAGGAATCGCAAGGAACAACCGACTGACTGACTGACTGACTGACTGGCTGACTGAATGCCTTCAATGTGCATAAGTGGGATAATGGGTCAGGCTAAGCCACAAGATATCCAAGTGGCTGCCATCATGATGATGATGTCGGTGATGATAATGATGGGTGGATAATGTCTCGTACCGGAAAAACCCCCCACACGCAGTGCGAGAAAGCGATGCGAGCGAGCCTTGGAATACGCACAACTCACTTTGCAGTATGATAAATTGTAGAAGATATCACGGCAGACTCTTTTGCATATGTACATTGTACTTTATAATTTGACACTGACAAAAATAAATGTCTGATCTAATCTTAAAGCTTATCCAAAACAGGTAGAAACATGACCTCACTAACAACTGGTACATATTCAAATTTTAATTAGATTTCAAAAGAAATGTGCAGAGTTAAACTAAAAAATTAAATACTATGGGATTTAAAAGAATTTTCCACTTCAATTTCAAATTTTTCAGTTAGAACAATTTTAAAATTAACAAATTCCTAGAACTTTACAGCCATATTGCAGTAGTTTTTTATTATTTAAAATAAACTTTATAACTTTTTTATATTCCATTTTAAAGTCATTTATAATTTCTTCCTGCGTAATCATAACTTACGGCATAAAGGCTTCCTCGTAATGTCCCTCCATCAAATTTCTCCCCACAGACGCTCAGGGCATTTAGCATTCATGAGATAATAACAACAGAAAAAAATAAAAAAAAAAGAAAGCAAGTGGACAGCAATAAATGATTTCCAGGCCATGCCGAAACATGTCATGATTCTTGGTATTTTTTGTTTTCCCTTCTCTAACACAACACTGCGTATACGCAATCGTAAGTGAAAGTCGGTGTTTTAGCCCTTGGGCTATGGATAATTTGGGTTAAGCTCACGCACACACTCCCATCACACACATATGCTTGTGGCATAATATTTTTCGGCCAATTTTTACTTTGATCCATTTATGGTTCTCTTTTTTTTTTGTTTGTTTGACTTTTTATTAAAAACCAAATGTTTTATTTGACTAACTTGTTTATGTTGGGCCTTAAAGCTGACCCTCCCAGGAAAAGGTCACAACTGGAAAAGGGTTTCTGATTGTGCGTATCAATTTTTATGGGCAGGGGAATGGGGATTAAACGTTGGGTGAGTGTGAATAGCATAGGAAATGAAATTCTTATCAGGCCATTTGGGGATTTCCCCTGTTAAGTGAGATAGCCAGAGGTCTGGTGTTATTAAAGTGATGGTAAATTTTTTAAAGAGACACCTACGAATCAGAAAACCATAAATAAGAAAGAATACTATCCAATTGAAATCAAAAAAGTTAGGCCATGATCGCTAATTTGATTAATTTGACTTGATTTGACTAACACTTAGGTTTAATTTAAAGCATTCTTAGAACTACAAAGTAGGTGCTTGAAAAAGTATTCAAATAATCGAAATAAAATAACTCAATCAGTTACAACTTTTTTAATTAACAGCACATCGCTGCCAATGCCAAACACTTTCACCTTTAAGAACCGCAATTTTCCATTGCCCCTCGGTACACTTTTCCCTTACCAACCGACGAAAATGGCCCACGATAATTGAATTATGAAACATCATTTCGCTGTCTGCGTTAACCATAAATGCATTAAGTTCGCGTTAATGAAGAATTATGCAGATGATGTCCAGGTCCTGACCTCAGACTAGACTTCAATACAAAGGCGCGGCGAGAAGAGGAGAAATATAAACGAACCTATAAAAGCCTTGGCCATTAGCAAGTCTGGTCCATTAAAACTGCACACACAGAGATTAAAAGGAGCTGGGAAAAACTTCTGCAGTGAATTTGCTGAATTATTAATTAACCTCAAACAATTAAAAGTGAAATATTTAAAAAATGTTCGTATAATTAAGCGATGCGCTGAAAAGAACGGGTTTTATAAATCCTTTTTAAGCGGCCAAGGAATTCGCTGAAGGAAATGGTTCGAGGTTTCAAGACCGATAAACAATGTAGATTGTAATTAACTTGACCGGCCCTACCTGCCCGAAATTCCCTACCATTTTCCACCCATTTTCCTCCCATTTCCCGTCTGCATGTAAATGTGGGTGGGTGGCAGCGACTTAATTGCATGCACGAAATGCAGGACCCGAATGAATGACATTCATTTTCGATTCGCTTCCACTGTCTTTGCTGCACTTCCGTTTGCCACACACACAGGAAGGCAGCCAAAGGATTCAGCAAGGATAAAACTTGGACGCGGTGGAAAATGGCAGGTAAAAAACCGGGGGTGAAATGCATCAGGGGCCATCAATGTTGAGCAATTGGGTCGCCTCTCTTGAATTTCATAAAGCATTCTCATTGAAAATAATTAAAATGCATCAAGCGTTCAAAATCAAGCAGCGTGGAAATTTAATTGTATTGAAACTCGGGGAGAAATGCTCACCTGTTCCCTACTATTTTTCCCAATTTTCTCGCCCCTTATCGATGCGAATGAATTGGTTCCATTTGGCAATGAGTTCATTTTTTTTCTTATTTACTTTCACAGCTGACCGAGCCGGGAATAAATAAAGCAAATATGGAAGTTGAGTGCGATAAATGCAATTGATCAGGGTAAGAAAAACAAAAAGGGGCGGAAATTACCAAAGAAATGGGTAATAAGGTAAGGTAAAAAAAAGTCTTAATAGACAAATCTTAAAAAGAATTGCTAATAGGTTAATGTAAAAGAAAGTCTTAATGAACAAATATAAATCAAATTGGTTTTAATTTGAGTGTATCAATATATTAATATAATTATTCAATATTTTAGTACTTAAGCTAAGACTTATTCAAAATTAAACACCTGATTTCATGTATGTTTTTCTTAAATTTCACTTCTGTTTGCAATGATTAAAATTGTGCTGCTCTCACCCACACACATTCAATTACAAAAAAAGGCTTAATTTTCATATGCATATAAATGTTGCTTTTCGTGTTTTTTCTCATTCTGCCCCGCTTTACAGCGGACACATGCTACTTTTCCCATGGTCAAAGGAAAATGCGAACAGAGCCCAAGGCCACGAGAGTACAGTGAACACTGAATGGGTGAGAAGAGGTGATGGCGCAGGCATAAAAAAACCCGCAGCTGTCATTGGCAATAAAAATAATAACACCCATCGAGTGCTCGAAAAGTAACAAAAGCAACAACAGTCAAACCATTTCAATGGCTCGATGTTTTTTATCAATCACAAAATAAACACTCAACAATGGAAGGGAGCGAATATATGTTTATGCATTTCCTCTTCAATACAATCAATTTTTTGTATGTATTATCATATTTATTTATAGGTACTACACGTGCCCCACAGGAAGCTGCAAGCGTCATACTCGTTTCACTTTGATATTGTTCAAAAGAGAAAATACATAAAAAAAAGTATTTTTAATTTTCACAGGAGCATATATATTTCTACGCCAACCTGTCTGCCATAATTGAAGTACAAGCCAACGCCATTTGATTATTTGTATACTAATAAAAAGCATTGCGAATGTTTTTACGATTTGTTTGTCATGGAATCAAGCAACACAAGAAAAAAGATGTAAGTAAAAGGAAAGCTCCCTGCCCCAAAACAACAATTTTTCATTTTCACCGAGGAAAAAGAAATGAAAAGTCCACAAATATATGACCGTCTCATAAATAGGAGACCAGAAATCAATTGACAATTTATTGTTTGAAACATAAAAAATGAGCGAGTGTAAGTTCGGTTTGGAAGGGATGTCGTTTTTGTGCAGGGGAAAAATCTATATTAAATTACGAGTCAGCTAACAAAATGTCAAAATAATAATAATAAAAAGACGAAATGATAAAAAAAATATAAATTGAGTTAATAAAAGTATAGAAACCGCAGCAATACCCTTTTGAATATTTATTGAAGATATCGCCGGAAAATATAAAGAATATATCCCAAAACTGAAGGAATGCAAAAATCTATAAATGTAAAGATTATATCTGAATACATCAGTTACAACTTCAAAATAAAAAACCAAAAGATAATGTAACTTCTAATATATTAATTGTGATATCAAAATTCATAAACATTGTACTGTAATTTGTTTAATTTTTTAATTGTACTCTTATCGCAAAAGAAAACCCATGGAAATATGAACTATAAATTACCTGATGTTCCTATCTTTGCCTGTTGCATGGATTCAGTTTCTGCAAATATACCCGTTTAGCCATTATTTAAAGGAAATCCCATGACGTAGACATATATGTATCATACACATTTATATATAGAGAAATATTGTATGTGCATTGCTTGACTTTTTGTGGCCATTGTTGCTCGGTCGGTGGCTGTTGTTGATGCTGGTGCTGTTGCTGCTCTCTGGTGTGCCCAATTGCCTTTAAATTGTACCGAGTGTTAAGTGGCGCACGTTAAAAAAACATTTAACGTTTTTATTTACGATACACCGAGTCGCCAACAACAGAAAGCCCAGATATAAAAAACATTTGTAGGACCACTGGTGGAGGAGGCAGTGAAAGTGTTTTGTTCTGGCCCTGGCATTAGGGACTCTCAAAAAAAAAACATATATATATATGTAGGTACAACAAATATATAAAAAAGGATATTGGAATCGCAAACGAATGGGAGGCTTAAAACGGGGGGAAAAAATAAAACGGAAATTAAAGTTAAAATATGGCAGGAGTCTGAAAGGCAGAAAGAGCGATTGAGGGTTAGAAGTGAGACAATTGCGAGTGGAAATGGGAAAATGGAAAAATGGAAAAGTGAGCAAGTGCTAAAAAGTTATGGCAACTATGAGGTATATAGAATTGAGTACCTGACTATTGTGCATGACTATTGAAGTGGAATAAGTGGATCTGCATGTGTAAAAATTAAACCCGTAAGCTATGAATTTTAATAAATATTGTATACTAAAAAGCACTAGTTTTTGCGGTAAGAAATGTCAAGGACAATTGTTGTTAATGATAGATTAATTAAATTAAATAAAAAAATAGAAAGCAACAGACGTACAAGTAAATATGTATTGTCAGTAGTGAAAAATAAATATTATAAAATTAATAAGGGTAACATGAGTAATCATAATATATGTATAACCGTTTAAGAATCACGGATCTTTCATGTTTTCCAGATTTATTATATGAACAAGTCTTTATTACTTAATTTACAAGTAGGCACAATGCTTTGTTCTATTTCAAAACAGGATCCAAAAGAAACAACAGGGTCATGCTCCCCGCTGGATTAGCATATTCCCTTCGTTTTCTGAGGCGCTTGGCTCACTCTTCGTCCGCGGATCTGCCACGCCCACAGTCCCACAAGGGAACTGATGATTCTCTCGCCAATAATAAACCTAAGCCCCAAGGCGAAAACGAACTAAATAATGAACCGCGATTCATACGCCTGCAAAAGGATTTTGAACTCTATCAGTTGATGGAAGGCCCCAAAATGGTGGTGCCCCTGAATAAATGCGATGCCCTGCGGTATTATCGCCAACTGCTGGCCCTTCGTCATTTGGAAACGGCAGCCTCGAATCTTTACAAGGAGCGATTACTACGCGGATTCTGTCATTTGAACACTGGCCAAGAGGCTTGTGCCGTGGGAATTTGGGCCGCGATGGGGCAACAGGATAAACTCATTTCAGGATATCGAATACACGGCTGGGCGTGCATGATGGGTGTGTCTGCAAGAAGTATCCTTGCTGAACTCAACGGACGAACAACAGGTAGTGAATTCGTATTTAATTACAAACAATGCGACACATTAAAAAAAAAAAGTAACTGCAATGGCATCAATTATAATCTTATTTTCCCTTTTATAATAAAATTTTTTTGTAAGCTTATCAAATTTCTTATATTCAAACATAAAGTTCCCTTTCAATTGCAAACGTAAATAAGTTAATTGTTAGTCATGGGAGAAAATAATAATTATCTGTTTTCATAATGATTATTTTTCAGGCTGTTCTGGCGGAAAAGTTGGCTCCATGCACATGTACGGGAGGAATTTCTATGGATAGCACCTCTATTCGGGCTATTATAAAGGATACTTAAGGAATGTCCAAGGGCAACCATTAAAACATATAAGATTGCAATAACTTAAATAAATAACTTAAACCTTCCAGGATTTTTCTTCCTTTAATCAAAACTGTCTTAAACTTTGAATCTTACACATCCTTATCATAACTTTCATTAGCATTTGTGTGTGCTCTATTTAATTTATGCTAAATGATCAACGGCTGCTGCTTATGTCTACGTTTTATTTTTATTTTCCCGGCAAAACGAAAACAATAATTCAGCACTGCGAGCTGCCGCTGAAACAGCAGAAAGCGAAGAAAAAATTGTTACGGCTCAAGAAAAAAAAAATTAAAAGAAAAGGGTAAGCAGGAAAAGGAAGTGTACACACAGGCATACACACGCATGTGACCGGGCTCCACTTTCCACCCACACACACCCACTCACTCATTTGCCTTTGCACTCACGTCTGTGTAATTTATGCCAAAAAACAGTGCGCACGGATGTACCCTAGCAGCGCACAATTACAACGGGTATATAAGATCTACTTCACATAATTGAATATAGGGAAAATATTATTTACGATTGGTCTAAAGAGGATTTTAAATAAATATTGTTAATGTAAAATTAAATTTAAGTGTTAAAGAAAATAAACGTATATTCTAAAACAAAATTTTGTACCTACAAGAAAACTATTTAATGTTTCAATATGTGTTTAGGAAGTACAGATTTCTTATTAAATTTACTAATATACTGGAGTGTCTTGAGATTTTGGTCTTGTAATTTCCTCATAAAACAAATTTTGTCGGTAATTACCATCGTTTAATAATAATTATTAAAAGCTGCTTCAGTTTTCGAAAACAAATCTGCACTTATGACGAACTAAGTAAAGCTTATGAAAAGTATTCATTAAAAAACTGAACTGGCATATAGCAAACATAATCTTAAACGATGTTGATAAATGTCGAAACTGTACGCTTTTTAAACCTAACATAAATATTATCTAAATTTTTAACAATTTACATTATATTAATACATTTTTGTTGCTTGTGATTTGCATGAATTTTTAACCCGTTTAAAGAAATACATTTTACATTTTACATGGCGCGGTGGCGCCACTGCGGAAGTATTCGGAAACATCAATTGTTTACTTCATGAAATTACATATTCTTTACAACATTTGTTAAAGTGGTATTAGAAGTTAAAGGCATTTGATTTTGATCGATAAGGCGCAATCCCCTGACCTGCCTTATTAAAATGCCAATAAATAATTACTTTTGTCACTGTCTCTTAGCTTTCATATTTGATTAGTAAACCTACAATTTGTGTAGCTGAAGTGTGAAAACCCAAAACCATTAAAGAAAGCAATAATTAAATTATATTAAAATTCACTTACGCAACTCATCTCTTCAGGATTCCAAAAGACTTTGTAGCAGTTGAGAGGCGGAAATGAGATATCACACACGACTAAATACACCTCCGAACAGGAAACAAGTGGAAGAAGCCTCGATGTGGAGTGATAGTAATGAATAAGCACGTGTGGGATTATAGTTGGACACAAATGTTATTTTTTGCCTTAAAGCCGTTGAATTTATAGAAATTATATATATACATTTCCCTTCCCGGTTGTTCACCTTTTCTATAATGGGTTGCTTATTAATTTAGGAGTGCTTAAAGGAGGAACTTACTTGTATGTAGTTGCTATTTAACCATTCTTATCAGATCCGAGAGGAACCGGCTAGATGGGAGTACGCATTTCAAATAGTGTATACAAATGTTTGGAAATCTAGTTCTTGTTCCAATACACTTTAAGCACACAATCCTATAAATATTCTTGAACTGGGTTTTAAATGAAATGGTAATGAATGTAACTTTTTTTGCCAGTAGTAGCGGTTTGCCAATCTCTTTCCGAATAGGAAGTATGGATGCACGAAAAAGCCGGCGTTCCTCCTTAGGACAAGAGGTTTTCCTTTGGTCCACAATAAAAGCCCGGCAAATTTTCTCCAATTGGATGGTATATAATGAAGTGATAAGAATGGGTTAGTAATGGGTATGGCAACTTTTTAGTTGTTGTAAGTACATACAGTTTCAACAAACTGTTATCTTGGCATCGCATCGTTTCTGTTCAGAAGTACACATGTACCCGAAAGCCCGGCAAGATGACACCAAGTGCTCCCCACTTCTAGAAAACATGTAATTTCATTTCTGGTCCACTTACAACACAAATCCCGTTCAGAACACCATCTCCATGTCATGACGTGGTTACAAAGGCTTGGCAATAAATGTGTCTGTATATTACAGGTGTTTTTTTTTTTGTTTTTAAGTAGTAGCTGTTTCCCAATGAAGCACGCTGTTTATTTGAAATTAAAAAAGAACTGGATGCATATATTTCGTCGGTTTATCTTGGCTTTGTCCTGATCAGATGACAGAGAACTCGGCTAGATGATGGACTCCATACACAGCGAATGTTGGTGGTGCAGCACCCAGTGCTCCTCGGCTCCGGCCAATATCTACTTCCTGTTCTGGTTGTTGCGGGCCATGTCCTTGGGGAAGGAGCGCAGAGGGGGCGTGCGGATGCGGCGGGCCTCGCGGGATCGGTTACGCACCACCTTGGAGTGGATTGCGCAGGACACGCAGTAGTGGAGCTTCGCGTAGAGCTTGGGCAGAACGTAGGAGTCCCAGATGCTGGCCTCGGTGATGTCGCGGACGGCAGCGGCCTCCACGATGTTGCGGATGACGAACTTCTTGATCGCCTTGTCCTTGGGCACGCAGCGGGCGCAGTTGGTGCAGCGCACGGGCTTCACATGGCCGCGGTTGTGCTTGTTGCGGCCTCCGTTACGGCGCTTCTTGGTCATATTGGCGGCTGTTTTTCAACGAAATCAATTGCATCGTACATCCATTAGCATTTATCAGCGGACTCGCGGTGCGGATGGCTGGCATAATTACCTTATTTATCGATTTTCAAAATCCGCCCAGCGAAATCCGCGTGTGTTCACGTTTCGGGAAACGAAAAGAAAGAAAATAGTGTGGACGCACCCGGCGAAACTGGAATAAAGGGACTAAAAAATCACAAAACGGGAGCTGTAGCGTAGTTGGCAACGCGGATCAGAGTGACCAGGGTTCCCACGGATATAAGCCATTTTCTAGCTTGAATTAAGCTTACCAAGGAAATAGTTTAGCTTTAATTAGTTTAAAAAACTAAAAATAAATTAAAATAAACAGTATTTATTAGAAAACTCAATAATTTATCATTGTCTAAATTAATTTAGTTTAAAATTTGTAGCTCGAAGTGTAACTGCCAACAGGCCCTATTTTAAGAAAGTACTTAAAACTTTTAAATTAAATTTGTTGAATATGTCTAGGCTTTAAGGAAATGACAAATAAATTTAACAATTAAGTGTTTGCCAATGTGCAATGAGGTTAGATTTTAAATTGATAAAATATTTCTTATCGGGATATGCAATGTGGTTGGCAACTTGCCACCCTGCGACTTTTAGCGGGTAATAAATAATTAATACCCGTGTTATTATAAATGAGAAACAAACATTTGTGTTTTTTCATTAGTTAAAAAACCCATTAGTTCTTAACATACTTTAGATTTAAAGCCATTTAGTAAAGAACTATTTGTCTTCTTCTTTTTGTTCTTAAAACATATTTGTAACCTTCTTAAACAGCGTTTCGATAAATACAAATTCGGGAACTTACATTGAACGATTTCACTTTTTATTAATCATAACTTAATTTTTTAATATTTTCTATTAATGAAGAAATATGGATTTAAGCTTATTGGTGAAACCTTATTTCGTTGATTAAATATATATTTAGCAAACGGGAAAGTCAAAATAGTTTGGGAATCTCTATATTAATTGGACGGTCGATACGCGTTGTAAAGTAATGCTTCTCTAAAATTTATTAAAATAGTATGCCAATATATTACAATTTTATTAATGTAGTGTAACTAAGTGGCAGCTGTCAATAAAAGAAAAAAGTAATCAGCGCCTAAAACCTTTTCTTATCTGTACACTTGAATGGTGGGTATTTCTTGATGAATTAAAGACATGTTAGTTATTTTCGACATTTGCATTTTGTACATTTATTTTTGTTTTATCAGCTTAGTGGGGTTTTCTTTGTACACTTGTTAAAGTAAAATATTCAAAACAAATCTTTGTCTGTCTCGGTCTCCAGTCTGCAAGTTTAGCCACGCCCCTTGGATCGGTGTGAACTGCGCTCTCTTCGCGAGCGATCACGGGATCGGTCCCGGTCACCGGATTGACCGCGTTCCCGGTCACGAACTTTTTCACGTTCCCGTTGGCTCCTGTGATCCCGTTCTCTGTCACGTTCACGGTCCTTGCCGCGATCACTTTCCTTTTCACGGCCACTGCGATCTGACCTCTCTCCACGATCTGACCTTTCGCCGCGGTCATCTCTGGACGAACGGTCACCTCGCCTGCCTTCCATTTCACTTCGACTGTTCTTTTCAACGCGCCTCTCGCGAGGGGAAGAATTCTCCCTTCTATGTGGTTGCTCATGGGAAAGAGATCTATCTCGCTTTCGTTGTCTGTCATGGGAAATGAAATTTGGGACCCTTCGTTCTCTGTCTGAAGAATTATTCCGGTTTCTTTCTCTATCGTATGAAGAATTATCCCGGTTTCTCTCTCTGCCGTAGGAAGAATTCTCCCGGTTTCTTACTCTGTCAATGGAGTTATCCCTGCGCCTTTGACCATTTCCATTGGACTGATAGCGATGCGATTCTCTGGACTCAGGACCTTCCAAGTTGAATTCATCACTATCTTGCGGTTGTCCTCGGAATTTGTTGTTTCGTTGAATCTGCTCCTGGCGCTTAATCTTCGCCTGAGGTTCCGCATCACTTTCTTCGCTGGAAGAACTGGACGAAGAAGATTCGGAGGAGGACTTTTCGCCATCTTCGCTGCTGCTGGAACTTGAGCTCTCCTGACGTTTCCTCTTGCGCTTTGATTTCTTTTTGGCTGCCTTCTGTTTCTCTTTCTCGCGCTTTTTCTCCTTATCATTTTCCTTCTGTCTTTCCCTTTCCCTCTCCCTTTGCTTCTCCTTCTCCCTCTCCTTTTCTGCTTTCAGTTTTTCCTTTTTCCGTTCTTTCTCCGCCTTTTTTTTCTTTTCGGCCTTTTTGTTCTTGGCCTTTTTGGTCTTCTCCTTACTTTCTTTTTTCGATTTATTTCTACCCTTGTCCTTACGCTTGCGTTTCTTCTGGGGCTCTGAGCTGGAGTCGGAACTTGAGGATTCACTAGAAGATTCGGAGCTGGATTTGTCTTCTTCACTGGAGTCTTCGCTGCTGGAGTCCGAAGATGACGATGACGAAGAGGAGGCCGAAGGTGGGCCTGTCTTTGAATTTGCAGCGGGAGCAGAGCCATCTCTAAAAGGATTCCCTCCGGAGTTGGCCAGGATTTCGGCATTTATTGCGGGCACAGCCTTGGGGGCATTCTTAAGGAATCTTCTCAAATCATCCGTCAGACCACCCAAGCCAATGGAGGTGAAGAAATTAATAGAGAAGCGGGTGTTCCTGGGGTTATCCTTGGGAAACAAACCAGCCAGGCTTTCGACCAACACATCTTCTTTGAGCTTTGTATTCAGTTTGCCCAATCCCATGTACTCAGCCAGCTCCTGAAATAGGATTTTGATAAATATCCTGCTTGAGGACGTGGTATCATCCTCGTTCAGTTGAATGCACTCCAGCACATCCCAACTGATGGCGTCTGTAAATAGGAGATGGGCGAAGAACTTGCTGACGTTTCTCAGGCGATTCGTATCCAATCTGTGGGTGGTTTGATACGTGTCCTTGAAGATCTCCTCAAAAGGCGGTATATAGATCTTGTTAATGTTGCAGAACCGTTGGGCCAGTAGTCCATAGAACTTTTCGTATGTTCTCTGCTCTGCACAGCAATCGAGAAACATGTGGCAGAGTTCTATTTCCTGGCCGGGTTTCAATTGCATTTTCATCAGCTTGTGGGCACACTCTTCATAATCCAAGCTGGAGTTAATCGTTAAGTAAATGGTGCGTCGCAGGGCAATCAGATTGGTTTCAGTGTTGTCGATGATATCTCCACCTTCGGTTTTCTTTTGGTTTTCCGCATCTGAACCGGACTCTCCGTCCGAATCGCTATCCGAATCCGATCCGGAACCTGACCCCGAACTACTTCCATCATCGCTGCCTAAGATCTCGCGACTAAGACCTTTGTATTTGTCTTCGTTCTCCGCATAGTTGTCGTCAAATTTAAAAACATCTGAGAACGGATACCATATAGGGATTAGAATATAATAAGAAAGTAAAAATCATAAATTTACTTACTCAATATATCCTCCGTTTCGGTGGCCTCGTCTAGCATCATCAGATGCGTGAACTGATCGTCCTCCTCCACAAGTTCCAGCTCCGATACGACAGCCTGATGATCCTTGAAGCCATCCTTTCGCACCTGGAACAGCACCTCGATCATGTACTGCACCCGCTTGTCCAACTTTCCCTCATGCAGGATGTTCCTAAGCATCTCGAAAATGGCCCCAATGCCTTTGGAGGAAACCTCAGTCAGTTTCATGCCGCACTCCTTGAGAAAAGCGATGGCCACCTCCACCGAGTCATCCGTAGGCGTTTCCACCAGCAGGGTGAGGATCTCTAGGGCCAGAATTTCATGGGCCACCCGCTGGTTGACCAGGTGTCCAATGAATCTGGTGGCCGACATGCATACCAACTTATCATTACGGCGGAACGCCCTACGAAATTGGATGACCAGACGTTTGAGCAGCAGCTCTCCTATATTCGGAAACTTTGAGTTTATAATGCTCACCAGAGCCGCATACACATGGGTGAAGGTGGGCGAAGCGGCCTGTGCTTGGATAATACTCCTGCTGAGCAAACCCCTACCCCTGACGATATTCTCTCTTAAAAGCTCCCTGGTGATGATCGCTATATTGGTTACATTCACTTTGTTGATGTAACCGTGGATGGATTTCTTGAGGGCCTCCCAGGCGATTCTCTGATAGGCAGCGGAGGCTTTATCCGTGATCTGCGACTGCATCAAACGCAGCTTGGCGGGTGGAATATAGGCTCCTCCCGTGCGGGATGTCAACACATCTACAGTCTTCCTTTGACGCTCTGTGATTTTGGCAGCAGGCTCGGTGACGGTTTCGTTGTCTGCATTACTTGGTTCAGGATGGCGAGCTGTTTTGGAAGACTTAGATCCCGGGCTAGAGGTGGAACGATCTCGTTTGCGATCAGATGACCTCTTCCTTTCCCTGGAATCATCTCTACGCCTGCTGCCGGATTTGCCCCGCTTTTGGTGGCGCTTCTTCCGCTCCTTGGCCCTTTCCTCATCGCGCTTATCCCGCTCCTCATGACGTCTCTGTCGCTCCAGTCGCCTTCTCTCCAGGGAGTTAGACCTGCGCCGGATGGGACTGCCACTGCCGCTGCGGGTTCTACTGTTTCTGCTCCTCGAGCGACGACGTTGACGGCTGCGGGGCGAAGGACTTCTGCTCGAAGATCGTGGCCGAAGGCGCTTTTCATCCTGGCTGCGGCTTCGTTGGCGGCTGGTCTCTTGGATTGGACTCCCCTTGATGGCGGCGGATTTTTCATTCACCTTAGCAGGCGGCACGTCATCATCGTCTTTCTAAAATGAGGAAAATTTAAAAACCAAAATAAAATGAAATCGGGTATCTAATCAATATTGAGGAAAATCCCAATTAATGTTCTTAAAACGTTGGTCGACTTTTAAGTTTCAGAAAAGACGTGCGCACTTGACCTAAATTTAAGCTCATTTACAATTCAGAATTCAATGGTTTCTATTCAAATCATAGGCATGATGGGGAATCATTAGTGAGAAGTTTGTTATGCTAATTACAAGTGAACACTTGAAAAAGTACAACCAATGTACATATGTAGCTATCTTGAATGAAAACTTAGACAATGAAATATTAAAAATAAAACACAAAATAAATCAGCATATTTATAATTTCACTGATTGATGAAATAAAACTACAAACACTTAAAACAGGAGTTAAAGTGATTTAACTTACGTCCGTAATTTCGCCCTCTTCGATGTGGTTCTCCGCTTTGGGAGGTTCCACTGTAACGGCTGCTGTTTCCTCTGCCGATTCCTTGCTGATTCCAGCACTTCCATTGGTGGTCACCGGCTGCTCTTCCACATTTCCCCGCTCATCTGCTTCTTTTTCGGTGTGCTCTTCTTGGGCCTTCGGTGTTTCCAGCTCTTTAGTCACACCTGTGGCTTCTGCTTCCTCTTGTCGTTGGACAGGTGTTTCTACTTCAGGTTTTTTTTCTTTTTCCGCTTCATTTAATTTCTCTGTTTCCGACGCGACAGCTGCTGCTTCTTCTTGCCGCTTTTCCACGCCAGCAGAATGGGAAATTTGATCGGGCTCGCTTTCCACTGGAGTTTTTCGCTGGGAAGTCGGATCCTCGTCCCTATTAGCTTCTCTTCTCTTATCGCTATCCGCCTCGTAGTCCTTTTTATCAGTTTTATTCGCATCTTTGGCGGATTTCTTCTGCGCTGCTTCCTCTTTCTCCCGGCCGCTGCTCGAGGAGGACGAGGAGTCGCTCGAGGCGTCGCTGTCGCTGCCACTGGAAGTCCCGCTGCTGCTGGAACTGCTGCTGGAATCACTCTCGGCATCGCTTTCCCCCATCGCGCGGTTAATTTGGGAAAATTGCTAGGAAAACAACGATGAAAATCTGGTGGAGAGCAAAAAACACAACGCGGCGATAGATTCTCGAGTAAAATCCCCAAACGCCTTCGCTTGCCGATAAAATCTCGTGCGCCTTTAAATATCGATAGAATATCTATACCGATATGCAAACTACTAAATTCAGTATTTTTTAGGCATTGTAATAGCTTGATTCCATTGCCGCATTATATTCAAAATTCAATGATATTCAAATACCAATAAAATTTAATTAAAAAAAAATAAAAAACTAAAGAACTTAATAATAAAGAAAATTGAAAATTACAGAGAAAAAATTAAAGGTTTTAGTGCATTTAATATGTTTCCGAATATACTAATCGGTTTTGAGCAATTTGTAAGCTTATTATTTTACCTAAACAACATCGCATATTTTAAATTGAAAAGATATTATACTCACTTTCTATTGCTCAAATAAATTTGGTATTTTTACTGACGAAAACAATAAACATTAAATGTGAAAGTATGATACTCGTAGCGTCAGGATAATAGAAAATAAATAAATAAAAACTCCGTGCACTTTCGCAACAAAACAACTAAATTTATTTTAGTTTACAAATCGTTTATCCATAGTAAATACTTTAAAAATAGGCTTTAATCACGACGGGTTAAACTAGAGAAGGGGCTTTACTACAGAAGCCACTAAGCCTTGCTGTCCGGTTTGGGTGGAACGGTTTCGGGTATCGATGGCGACACATCGTCGTCGCTGGAGGACGAGGAGGACGAAGAGGAGCTGGAGTCATCGGCCTTTGTTCGCTTCTCGGGAATCGTGTAGGGGAACTTCTGCGACTTCTCCTCCACCGCCTGTTTCAAGCGGAGCAGGGCCGTCCTGTTGATGTTCTCCAGCGAGACGTCCTTAATGGCATTGGCCAGTGCGTCCATGGCCTTGTCGGAGTTGCCCTTGGTCGTCTGGATGTCGATGAGGCAGGAGTAGGCATTGCCGATCGCTCCCTCCGAGATTTTGCTGTTCTTCAGCTGGGAGATGACCGTGGCGGCGAGTTTCTCGTCCTGCTGCTCCCGTGCCGTCTGCAAAACGCGCTGGAACATCAACCTTGGGGCATTTGACAGGTGCTTGTCCCAGATCTCCTTGGAGGCCGCCTCCTGACCGCTGGAGATCAGATGCATCCACAGGACATTCATGGGTCCCAGTTGATTGTGGGCGGCAAACTTCTCGGCCAGGGATTGGTCTGCAAAATATATTGAGTGTTAATCTTATAAGAACTAAAACAGGGATCTGCGAAGAACTCACATTGTGGCACCAATTCCGGGTGCTTGTCCAAAATGCCCACAGCTCCGCCGCGTGGGAACTTCTCGGCCAGCTTGGTCGCCTCCTCAGCATTCTTGGCTGCTTCGATTTCCGTGGTCAAGTGCTTTAGGAACTGCTCCGCCTTGCCGGCCACGATATTAGCATGACAGAAGCGATTGTCAAACGAAACCAGACGCTTTTGCTCCTCGTTCAGCTGCTGGCCAATCTTCTCCAGCGTTGCCAAGTCCCCAGCAGCGGCAATTTTGTTCAGGTAAAACTTGAAGATCTTGGGCTGCGGGTGCAGCTTGTCGCCCAGCAGTTCCTCAACGTATTTGGTGGCCTCGGTTAGACGATCAGCTCGCACCAAGAGTTCAATCAGGCGGGAAATGTCCAAGGCCCCCACTTTGTCGCCACTAAGAAAACTTTGTTTATGGGATATGGCTGCGTCGGGATCATTGGCCAAGATGGCTTTACGGAAGCCAGACAAATGGGAAACGGTTTTGGGTGGCGCACTGGTCTTTACTTCTTCCGCTTTAGTTTGCTGCTGCTTCTTTGGTGCCTTCTCCTTTTGTTGATCTACGATTTTGACTGTTTCGTTAATTGCATCGCCTTTGTTCTTCCTGGCTCTGGCTTGTTCCCTTTGAGTTTCGGGCACCACAAATGGCACATCAATGTTTTTTCTCCTCAGGATTTCTGCCAGCTTCAAGAGGAAAGCATCGTTGGGCGTCACAGACTCCTCCTGCATTTTGGTCCACAATCCAAGGGCCTTCTCCGCCTCATCAGCTTTGTCGTAGCTCAACAGCAGCGTGTAGTAGATCTTGTTTCTATCGATGTGACCCAGGTCCTTGGTGGCTTCAATGAGGCCTTCCAGAGGCTGCAGTTGACCCTCGTTCTTGTAGCGATCACAGGCACTGCTGATCCTCTGGGGACGCGTACGCAGACCGGGCGTCTCCAGGATCTTCCTGGCCTGCCGCACACGACCGCACTCCACGAAGGAGAACACCAGATCGTAAAGGCTGTTGACCTCCCCATGAATGCCAGTACTCAAATCGGTTAGTTTCTGCAGATTCGCTGCATCCTCCTTCTGGATCAAGCGGCAGGCTAACTCATTCTTCCACGGAGTCGACTTGTGCTTCTGGCAGATCTCCTCAAAGGCTTCGATGGCCCTGGGAATATCATCCTTGACCAGGTGAACCTTGATCAGTGGTCCGAGAAGGACGTTGGTGGGCACAACGTAATTGCCAGCCACCAGGGCATCGAATAGTTTTCGCAGCTTTTCCGGCTCACCAGCCTCGGCAATCGAATTCAAAATTCTCCACACGGTGCTCACATAGTTAAAGCTTCCCTCGCTTTCGGCTAGCGGAGAATCCTTTTTGTTATCATCCAGCACTTTGAAGGCAGCGTCCACACGTTCCTCTTGCAGGAGAAGATCAGCCAGACGAACAGCCTTTAAGTTATCCAGCTGGAAGGTGGCATCCTTGGCCTTCAGTTTGCCATAGGCATCCAAAGCTTCTGGACTTTTCTTGTGATGCGTATAGAGGTCGATGAGCTGGGCATGTATTCCAATGGGGATCTGGAACTTCTCCGTCTCCAGTTTCTCGATGACCTGAAGGGTTTTCTCCAGGTTCTGGGAACGGAAGCAGGCATTCAAGAGTTGTCTCTTGATGTTATTGGCATTCTCGCCTTTGCTCTCCACATTAACAATGAAACGTTCAAGTTCTGTGGCAATAAAGAAAGAAATTCTTTAAAATATTACTTAGTGAAACAATTGACAATAACTCACCATCAATGGAGAGGGAGTCCAAGCTTCGCTTTCCACTACTTGGCAGAGGAACTGGCTGCAGTTCACCTGAGCTCAGTTTTCCCAAAAGTTCGGAGATCCTTGGTGTCAATTCCGAACCCAATTGCTCCGATAACTGCGAGGCCTTGGCACTGCTGATGGACAGACCCTGTTTGACCAATCCCTTGAGGATTTTCTCCAGCGTAGCCGCACGATCCCGCCGGAAATAAATGAAGGCCTCCTGGAGGATAGCACCCACCACATCGGGTGTGCTGCGTTCCGTGGGAGCGGCAGCTCCGCCCTCCACTTGCTCAACTTCCTCCTCCTTGCCTTGTCGGAATTGCAGGCCCTCGTGAATTTGGCGGACACAGCGGATGAAGGAGGCGAAATCGTTGGTGTGACTGAGGGCCAGGATCAAAGGCTGTCTGAACAGGAACGGCACATAGTAAGCCCTGTTCTGCTCCATAATCTTGGCCGCATCGGCAATTTGGTGGGTCACCAGGGCGGAGTAGACGGCCGAGGTTACGGCAGTGGAGTTTGGAACTCCGGCATCCCTCAAAGCGGTGACAATTCGCTCCCAGTTCTTCTCCTTTAGGTTGGGAATCACATAGTCCCTGACCGTTTCGGAGTTGGGAAACACGGCAAACTCCTGCTGCATGCGACGTACGATTTCCAAAACTTGATTCGATTCTGCGGAACAGATCAGAGGCCAGAAGTAATGCTGTCTGATGGGCAAACCGGCATTCTTCATCTCTTGCAGCAGAGGAAGGGCATTGTTAACCACGCCATTGGTCAGACCAGCTTCGGTGGCAATGGTCAAGGCCTTGGGATTGAGCCCTTCGGCCTGCAGAGTCTTGCAGATGGTCAGGATCTTCTCCACTGGCCGATTGGCCTTAACCATCTGCCTGATAAAGAAGGCGCCCACATCCACGGGTTCGCCGTTCACACGATTGCTCCTCGGCATCACTCGAAGGAGCTTCAGGCCGACATCCTCGTGTCCCTTGTTCACCAGGCGAAGGATCACATTCACTGCATCCTGATTGAACCCGGGCGAGAGTCGCAGCTTGGGCAGAATCTCATCCACCTGCTCGCCATTGCCATTAACAGTGAGAGTGTACACGATGTCCAGCAGATCCTTGTCCAGCAAAATGACCTCCTTCTGCTCACATTCGGTTAGCGTTTCCCTAAGGGCAGCCAGATCGCCATGGCGGGCAAAGGCGCACAGAAGCGTGGTGTAAGTGTCCGCACTGGGCTCCAATCCCGCCTGCTTCATCACTCCCAGAATGCCCTTGGCGGACTCCAAATCGTTGGCCTGGAAAGGTATTGAATTTTTATTATTAACACCCATTCTTTAAGGGATAATAAAAGATGGTCTCAGGAATCTCAGGAATCGAATGAACAGCATTGACTGATTGAAATCCTAGAGAGAATATAGTATCACCTGTGAATGTCCTAGAATCAGCGAATTGAAGACATTCTCGTTGACCGGCAGACTCTTTGCCCGCATGAACTCCAGAATCCTGGTGGCTCCCTCGATGTCTCCCTGCTGGCAATATCGGGCAATCAGGCGCTGATAGGTCACCCGGTTGGGCTCAATGCCCTTGGCCTCGATCTCGGCCAGAAAGTCGGTGGGCGCAAAGCCGTGCTCGTTCTCCAAGTAAACCCGAAGCAGGGCATTGTAGTGCGAGATGTCCATGGGCACGTTCAATGCATTCAATGTCTTCCAGATCTCCTGCACCAGGGCCGTTCTGACCTCCGGCAGCTCCTCGGGCACCAAGTTGCCGCAGCACCGGATCACCAGCAGCGATTGCGAACTGGTGGCCGTCCTGTGTGTGCGAATCTCGTCGAGCACCTCCTCCAGATCCCGCCGTGAAATGCGTCCAGTGCGCCGCACATCGTGGTCCAGTCGGCGAATCTGCTTGTCCAGGGACAGCTCCGCTTTGGCTGCGGCATTCGTTGCAAATCCACTGGAGGGAGATCATAATAAGTTGGTATTTATGAGATTTAAAATGCCTTTTTGTACCTAAACTTTTCCCACATGAATAGTTTTAGTTATTTAAAGACTTTAAAGACTGGTTCCCACAAAAAAGGAGTTATAAGGTTTGTTTCTCAAAATAAATACATATATATAGCATCTCTTTCCGTTATTTCATTTATTCCAAAGTTGCTTTAAGTTAGCTTAATTTAAATAAGTTCCAACCTTTTTGCCAAACTAGGATACTGTTCTTTATTTAAATGAATGTTACCATTTTAACCAAGTTTGGTAAACGTTTCTCGAGAAAGTATTTATAACAATTGATTGATTTGTTAAATAAAGTTTTATTTAGCACTCCCCAGATAAGAGTTTAAGCTTTCTATAAAAAAAAAAACTTAACACCAACTAAATAAAGGGGTCTCCACCAACTATTCCAGATGAGGTTATGTAAATACATAAGACATTTGTTAGCTAAGATTACACTGCATTGATCTGATATGTACCATTCTTTTCAGGTAGCAACGAATGGAAAATGACCAAACGCCCCAATATTTACATAAATACACGGATGCATTGCGTAATGCCGGTACTTTGTATGGTTTTTACTCACTTCTGGAACTGGCCGCACATGCACGGCGCATTGCTCAGCAGATTGCTCGTTTCATTCTCACGCACCGAGTTCACGACCACGTTTCTCGTGAAGCCAGCGAAATAACGCAGCAGTTTGCCCGTCCTCAGGATGGATGCCATGGCCGGATTGCTCGGTTTTAATTAATAAATTCAATTTATTATTAAAATACGTTAGCACAAGTGCGGTGAAGGTGGAGGTGGACAATCATCGATACCTACATCGGTTACATCGATGTTTGCCAGGGCATCATCGATGTTTTCCCATCTCTGTGGAGGGTGTATCCACTATTCGTTAATGTGTCTCCGCTAACTGTGGAGTGAGTCCCCGCTATCCAAATAAATACCAACCGGTAACGGGAAAATTACAACCGTTAAAATTTTTTAAGTTTTTGAATCCGGTTATTGATATCATCAATAATTAAAGGTTTTCTTTGACATCACAAGCCAACAACAAAATAGAACTCATTAAAAGAGAAAGTAAAACAATTGTTTAGTAAAATTGAAAAAAATTATTAAAAAGTTGATTTTTTGTTTATTTTATAATAAAATGAAAGCAAATTTATTTAAAAATATGATACTTAAATTTATATTTCCTAGAAATACATAATTTACAGTAAACTAGACCTCATCATCTGCCTGGCAAATAAATCGAAATCTTCTGTCACATTCGTCGATAAACATGAATTTGTCGAACACGGAAACGCAGTGAGGAAACTTCTTCGTGAGGTCGGGTTCACCTACTGACCACTTTAAAAAGGAGTTTTTGCTGCCAGAGGCTACAGATACGTAATCTCCATTATTCGCTTGAGTGTCGATACCCAGCCAGTAGGAGTACTCAGGATCGAGTTTCGAGTTGATGGCATTGAACTCGTCTTGGCTTGCAATGGATGCTAGCTGGCCGCCCATCTGGCGACATGTATTAACCGCATTAGTCCAATTTTGTTTATTCAATTTACTTTCCTCAATGTAAAAGAATCTCAGGCCAATTAGTTCAAACCTCTGCGTGACGATTGTTTTAATTTGGCACTGTCCTTCCGGCACCTCTTGAAGTGCACTTTCTAGGACTGTTTGATTTTCTCTCCTGCTTGATTTGTCATCGTTGTCCTGCAGGATCTTCTTCTCCAAAGACTCCAGCAGAGTGGCCAGTTGAGTCTCAATTCTGTCCAATCTTGCCTGGGTTTCATTTGAGATAATTGTGAGCGTACTCAAGTTATTAAATAGGGGTCCCAGAGCGGCTACACAGAACGACCCGCACTGCGTTGGGGCATCTTCCAGGATACAAACGGATGCCACCGGATCCTTACATTTAGCTATTGCTCCATATATCTCCAATGCAAGGAATGCGTACAAAAAAAATGTGAAAAGCCGGAACATATTTCGAATGTACGACCACCAAAGGCAAAAGAGTTGAATGAACTGATTTCAAATGTTTTATTCGCACTTCGGACTGCCAAAAAATTGCTGATAAAATAAAAAATGCGTAAAAAGGGGCGGAATGAGCTCGATAAGAGGCACTGACCTACATTTAAAATGTACTACAATTTAATAAGAATGAGTTCTTTTTAAATTGTAAAATAATGTTAATATTATTGGTATAGAAGTTATTTTTATTGCATTATTAAGCAAAACGAAGAAAATGCATAATTCAAGGTTTAGAAAGATTTACTACTAATTAGTGTACTGATTCCTTTTTTACATTTAAAAATTTTGATTTTAGATTATTTTAACAAAACCAATGTTGTGTTTGCAATATTTAAGCTTGCACTGCAATTGCACCAAAACAATACACAAACACACACTTAAAGCAAGAGAGAGTACAAAAACAACAATAAGTCATCCACCTGATTAAGAGAAACTGCAAGCTTTATCGGCTCTCTTTTGATTTGCAAACTTCTTGTTGCTGCTGTTTGTTGTTGCTTTTACTGCGCGTCATTTTTGCAGCAGACGTCAGCGTAGCAGTCGCTGTCGCTGCCGCTGCCTCTGCCGACGTCGCTTTCTTTTGTCGCGAATTTGGAATTGAAAATGCATTTCATTTGCAAAAGTTTCGTTGCAACGAAAGCAACTCGGCGGTTCGCGGAATAGTGCTTCCTCTTGTTCATCCAGCTACTACTGTGTGCGTGTGGGTGTACGTGTAGCCGTATTCGCTGTATGTGTGTGCGCGTGCCTACACTGTAATTTGTGGCGGATTTTTGTGGTTTTAAAAAGGAGAAATAATTTGCATTTGACAGGTGCAATCTGTGTCCCCCCCCCAAAAAAAAATATAAACGGCAAGTGTGTGGGTGCATCGTCATTTTGCAGCACTGGTAAGCAAGAAAATTGATTAAAATTCCGATTACAAAAGGGGGGAAATATATTTAAAAAATATATGTATGTAGCTTAAATCTTAAGTATTTGCGTATGTTCGTGTGTGAAAGAGAGGGCGAGAGCAATCGAGAGAGTGCAGGCAGAAATTGCAATACACACAAACAAAAAGCGGCCGGCTTGCTCTCCTCTTCCTCTTTTACTCCTTCTCCACTTCCTCATCTGCCTCTTTTCCCCTTCTTGCTCACCCCTTTGGATGCACTTGGTGCGATTCATTTGCTTTTATTACCATTTTTGCCCGTCTCTGCACTGTTTTTTTTTTTTTTTTTTTCATTTTATGGGGGCTTTTGGCACTGTGGCAACCCTGGTAGCGAAATGCGTTGGTGAATAAGTTCTCTATCTCTACCCTTTTGCCAGTGTGGGACGCGACTTTGAAATGCTTGCAGCTAGCGGTAGTGCAGCGCTTAAGTGCAATAATCGCAAATTAAAATATTCACATAAACTTCAGCCCCATAAAACTCTCTAAAAAATGTAACCCAACTAGTAAAGCTTGGAAAATACTCTGCACTATTGCTCATAAAGTAATAGTAAACTGGCAAAATTTGTATTCTATCAAAGTGTGCGTGAAAATGTGGGAAAATTAATTTATTGAGAAATTAACAACTCAAAAACCAAAGGAAAAATAAAAATATATACAAAATTTAAATAAAAAAACTTTTGTGCCCTCTACTTTAAAAAAAAATAAGCAGACATAGAAAATTTGTAGTAACAATAATAGGCAAAACTTTTTTTCTCTTTGTGGTGCAGTTCTTATAAGAAAGAACTAACAAATCATATTCTTTAAAATTTTCCAAATAAAAAAATTGTCTTTTATTTTGTACTAATTTAATAACATTCCATAGAGGAGTTTAATATAAATGTTGTAGTTGTAGGAATGAATATTTTTTTTATGAAGTAAAGCAACTTTTGTGTTTCAAAAAAAGTAAAAAGAAAAAATTATAAGGGTTTCTAAACAATTTCTCAGCTAAAATAAATTATAAATTTTAAATAAAAAACTTGGAAATGAAGTTAACTGAAATATAACATTTCTGTGCTGCAAGTTTCATTAAAAAAAACCAATTGAAGGCAATTAAAACGCATTTTCTCTGCAATTGATGATGACCTACGACAAAGGAAATGAAGTCATACCCATACACAGGCGGCTCACACGTACACATGCACACCGAAAAGCAAAGTGCAGGCCAAAAGCGAATAATGAAAAAACAATAATAACAACAAGCCCTACGAAAGCCAACAACAACAAATTTAAAATTGCACTGCGCATGCACATGCACATGCACACACACCACTCGCAAACTCAATCACACAGATACACCAACTGAGCTATATTGCAGTGGTATGTGTGCGCTTTTGTTCGCTTGCAAAAAGAAGAAGCAGCTGGAAAATGTACGTAAAAATATAATTAAAATTGAAATGTGACTTTCTAGGTTGTTTAATAATATCCACGAAATTAGGGAGCTTCCCCAGTTGTTAATTTTCCCCATTTTCGCTTCTTTTCCTTTTCCGTTTGCTTTTGCTTTTGCTTGTGTTTTTATTTTATTTTATTTTATTTTTTTTAAAACGCGTCATGCCAACGGCAGTTGAATGCACTCGGCCTTTGCTTCGATTGTCTTTCCCTTTGGCTGATAATAAACAGATTAATCGCTTTTTCCAATACATATATTAAACATGCAGATGATTTCTATTGAGTTTTAAACTTTTGGTAGCCAGAAAACGGTGTTTTTACGCAATATTTTGTACTTGAAACTGTTAAAAGAGTCAAAAAAATGTGAGGTGAGATTGGCCTTAGTTTCTTTAGAAATGCTGAGAAAATTGGATGATTTCAAAGTAAAATTATTAAAGTGTAATTTAAATTAAAGCTTTAGAAATTTATCACTTTCAAAAATTGAAATCATAAAGCTCTAGGGCACAATAAAATCACTGCTTGGCCGAAATATTATAAATTTTGTTTTTTCTTCGGTATTTCTAAAAAGATTTACAACTTTTATAAAAGTATTTTTAAAAATAAAAAAATGCGCTATTGTAATATATTTTCATCAAATTATGACTAATTTAGTTCTGACTCATAATCCAGCCATTCATTTTGACCTTGAGTAAATTATTTAAAGTAAAATAGCCAGTGCAATTATTAAATTCTCTGCAAGCCCCAGAGCATTCCGTTGCACTTGGTGGTTGTCCCTCTCTCGGCCATATCCTCATGTTGTGTATCTACAACTGAAATTACTCATCATCAGCATTTCCATAGAAATCAAAGCTCACAACAAAAGAATGCGACAAAAGTATGGGTGAAATACTTAAATAATAAAGAGAACATTTATTTTTTGGGAAAACTGTTTTTTTTTTTAAATGGTACAATTGCACAAAAAAGAGTAAGGAATATGAATCATTTAAACATTTTTTTTTAAAAAACAAGTAGGTTTGTATTAAAATTAAAACTCAAAAATTTAAACGCTTAACAAATTTTATTAAACTGAACAAAATACAAGCAATACTTAATAAAGGACTTAAAAGCATTAAAAGCATCAGAAACTAAAATCAAAGTAAGTGTGCATTTCAAGAATCCTTTTAGGACTTAAAACTTAATAAACAGAAAGCCAACAAAATATAAAAATGGCAGCACTTTTTCTTCCTACTTCCTTCTTTCGAACCATTTGAACTCCTTCTTTTTGTTGGGCAAGGGTGTGAAAGGGATGGGTAGAGTGGTGCCAAAGGACAATGGTTCAAGTGCAAAGAGGATGCCAACCACATGCAACAATGCCAACAACAAGGACCGAGCGAACGCCGAAGGACATGCCGTGCATTTTGCCTTTTCTGTGGTGAGTTGCAGCTATTGCGTATACGCCGTGTGGTGTATAGAGCGAAAGAGAGGCGACTCTGTCGTCTGGCCAGACAGAGAGAGCAGCTATTTATAGCAGGGAGCTCCAAAACCGAGCTCAGCCTTGATTCCGCCCTTGAACTAACATTGCTGGGAAACTATTCCTGTACCTCCAGTCCGGTCCTGTCCTGTCCCATCCTGTTTTTGTACCCTTCGATTCGAACCCAGCAGTCATCACAGCTGGAAACCAGTTGGGGGACCATACATCGGGAGGATATGGGAGGTAAAGGAGGTACTTGGGTTTTGGACATACAGTGCATATGTTGCCAGTCGAGCGGTGCTTTTTGTGCTTGCGGTTCCCTTTCTGCCCCATGTCCTTGCCTCTCGAACTGAACTCAGCAGGCTTTGACATTGATTTTGTGCACCCTGCACTTGTATTGTGTATCTGTGTTTCCATTCCCATTGCAATCGAGAAACTCAACTCCTATGAAACTCCACTCAGCTGTCAGCAGTTGCTGATGTCATGGCAGTTTATTTATACAAATAATTTGATTGTTTAGCAAACACTTTGATATAATAGCGGCAAAAGCGTCAAATATGATACCTGATAGGTTCCGAGTAATACGATGCAAGGAAAAGCATCGAGTTAGGAATAATATTTAACCTTGATTTTGTTGTTATAAGCCACATTTGTTTAGCAACGCAATTGGAGAACTTCTCAATGTTTGTAGAGCAGTTGAGATAAAAAATTAAATCACGATATGATACAAACGCAAGTTGCAGTGCCGCACAAAATATAAAAAAAGGAAACAAAGTCAATGCCATAAATATTTATTTAAATTCATTTTCAGAAATACAAATTATGTTAAATCTTCTATTTCTAGTCAATTTCTATATTCAGGCAACCAAATGCAATGAATTTTTTCCTCTTAAACTCATTCGAAATTGATGCGTATTAAATGCAAAAATATACATATATACTATAAAAAGAGAGCTGGATGATGAATAAGAAACAAGAACTACAATGGAAACTTGAGCAAACAAAGGGCTACGAAAAATGTTTGCAAATTGAATTTCGAGTAAATATGAGCAATGCAATGTGAAAAGTAAATACACAGTGAGAAACACACACATATAAGCCGCGGAGAGACTACTTCTACAATTGCGCGGAGATGCATTCAAAGATAGATGGATAGAC